CCCCCCCCCGCCCCCCCCCCCCACCCCCCCCACTCCTAACATACCAAATCCCGCTCGCCCGCCGTCCCATCTCCTCTCTTCTCCAGCTACCACACACAGAAGATTAGGTACGCAATCCTGCCCTCTATACATTGAAACCGCTTTCCACTCGCTTCGCTTACTAACCCACGTCCTCTCCTCTACATAGCTGTCTCCTCAACCATGTCCAACTGCACCTTCGCCACGCGCGTTTTCGACGCCTTCGTGGCACACATGATTACGGCCGTTTTGGCCATTGCGCTGCTCCGCTGGGCCCGTTGGGCGGGGTATGAGATGCCGTGGGAGAGGCGAGAGAGGAGGGAGGAGTTGGCGGCGTTTGAGCGCCGTATTAACGGTATTATTGATCGGTATGTTTAGTGCGGATATCGATATATGTAGTTGGTTTCTTTTTTCCTTTGTTCGTCTTTCTTTTCCAATATACCTTCCTCTATTATGTTTCTCTATCAACTTCGTTATCTAGGAAATATTTTAAGGGCCTTGTCCCCCACCTCCCCGCGGTTAGGCCTGGGGCCACTCCCGGTGATGAGAGGGAGTGGTACGGACGGGGGCATTCTTATTCATCGTTGGAAGAGGCTGCGCTTGGAGACGTTTTCGAGAGCGCTGCTCGTTACAGCTTACACCTCACTCCCGGTTTGCCGAAGACGTCCAGAATTCGCTGTCCACAACTCGATCTACGAAGGCGATGTATACCTCAACTTCAACTAAGCCACTCGTATCAGCTTCGCGCATTCGACATGTCGTCTCCAGGCACCATGATGGTCAAGAGGACTTCCTCCTCGCGAGGTCATGTCGTCTTGACAACGGGGTTTGGTACTCGCCCACTCTTCGCTGAACGAGGCGACCCTGAACCGTGGTTCTACCAGCGCACTCTCGGCAGACGCACAACATCCCTCTTTCACCTCTTCAGTCTCACTTCAAACTCCCTCGATCATACCTGGACATCGCCATCATGCCGGTTTTCGATCTAGGTCGTCTAGGTCGCTTCCAGATATCTTATCTTCCGCCATCAGACATATCGCAAGGAGATCACCAAGACATACCCTCAGGCCCGCCGCCTGAGTACACGGACATCGCTGAAAGCGAGATCAAGTACCTCTGTCCATCGCAAGCACAGCCACCAGAATGCAAGACCGAACAGATCCGTCGCTTTCTCATCGAAATCGTTGCAATAACCTTCAACGCGGACTTCGACTCGCTAAACGCAGCCTTGTACAACATCCCCGTATCAGACAACACAAACACAATACTCTGCGACTCTGAGCGCGCAGACCTGGTAGCTCAATCCGATCTTGTACGCAAGGTGCACAGGCACTTCCTCCACAACACCAAGACACATATATCACAACGAGACGAGAGAGCCATCTGCTCCACCATAACCCTTCCCGTCGCAGCCCTCCGAGCCTATCACTATAGTACATTTTCGCATTTCACTGTATTCCCGCACTTCACTCTAGACATGATAGGGTGGTACGGCGAAGAAACGCGACATCCATCTGGCACACGCTGGACAAGCACGCTCCCCGGACACTGGGATATCAATTCTCTGGGGTATTACGATCAAGAACAAGTTATGTTCTGCATGAGATCGCTTTTCCATGTCATCGAGGACATTGCTCCGAACGACAAGGTGCACGACGTGCTAAGGGAAGCATGGGACACTTGTCGGCGACGCGGTGGGTAGCCGATGGATACGCTGCTGGGCGACTCAAAGATATGCTGGCCCTTGAGGAAGGGGTACCATCATATGGGGGATGCGTTGAGGGATATGCCGCTATTGGGGCCTTGGGTTGTCGTTGGGGAGGAGTGAGTCAGTGCAATAGTGTATCACACTTCGTTTGCACCATGGGAGTAGTCTTTGCGAACGGCATGTAAAACAATAAACACCTTTGTTAGCACCAGACATGTCTCGCCTTCATCCTGCGACTGCCGAGTCCCGAAGGAGTGTTGCGGTGTGGAGAGTTTGGTAAGGGTGGGTCACGGGAGGCGATCGACGCATTGTGGCTCGGCCCCCAGCCACAATGCAGAATGACATCATGTTGGCTGTACCTGCAGCAACCAACACCACAATTTGACCGCAAACCTGCTGTCTAGCCCCGTGCGAAACGCGGCAAGCGTGTTTCCACTATTGCCAGCTCGCCATCTTTTCCGGCCCGTCCGCCTCTTCTCTTCTCCTCGGTCCTCTGCATTTCTTTGTATTCCCTTTAGTCTGTCGCTTCGACTCTAATTTCCCTATACGCGACGACCACGCGAGCGCCCCTTGGTCCTCAGCCCCTGCCACCACAACAACAACACCACCAAGATGGTGCACCAACGCGCATCCCAGCGGGCTCTCCTGCTGAGCGCGACACTCGGCCTCGCCAATGCATTCGCGCTGCCAGAGCCGACAGCTGTCCCCGCCAAGGTCGAGGTGCGCGCGCCTGTTGTGACTCCCGCGGCGATCCGGTTCGTAGGGCGGCACAGCTACGTGGAGAAGAGGAACATCATCGACGACATCAAGAGCGGCGTGGATAACTACGCAGCCTCGATAGGCAGCGTGCTGGGAACAGACCTGCCCAGCTTCTTCACAGAGGGTAAGCAAACGCCTGCATGGCAAGCTTCGCACTAGTAAGGCTTGTGCTGACTCTTTTTCTCTAGGCATCCCCGGCTGGTTCGAAGGCCTCCCCACCGGCAAGGAAGTCCTGTCCAGCCTCGGCATCGGCGACGACGACTTGGCTGCGAAGCCCACTGAAGTTCTCAACATCCCTCCCTACGCCAACTGGACCGACCAGGGCTGGAATGTGCGCTTCCACGGCAATGTGTACAAGTTCCCGGATATCAGCCAGGACAAGGTCGACGACCTGGCCAACGTCTTCCTCATCGACACCAGCGTCGCCGAGCTGCCCGACAACCAGAAGGAGCAGGCACGCAACCTGACGCGCTCCATCTTCATCGTCCAGCAAGGCGACGTCAATGTCTCCATGTCGCTCGAGCCCGCGCCCATGCAGGGCGGCGACGGCGAGCCCGGCGGCGGCAACTCCATCGAAGCCCCCGGCGGCGTCCAGAACCTCACCCTCCCCTACGAGACGACCGAACTCGGCGACTTCGACGTCTTCGTCCCCATCCAATCCAACGGCCTGATCCCCGGCAACGAAACCAACAACGTCCAGCGCCTCAACGTCTACACCAACGGCACCAACAGCGGCAACGCCACCGCCTTCCTCGTCCCCTCCGAAGGCATAACCTTCATCTCCGACATCGACGACATCCTGCGCGTAACCAAGATCTACGACCCCAAAGAAGGCCTCCTAAACTCCTTCGCCCGCCCCTTCACCCCCTGGATGAACATGCCCGATATCTACGCAAACTGGTCCCGCACCCTGCCCAACAACACACACTTCCACTACCTAACCACGACCCCCGAGCAAGCGACCCGTCTGTACATGGACTTCATCTACAAGACCTACCCCGGCGGCTCCTTCGACACCCGGCCCCTCAACTTCTCAGACATCTCCGCCACGCTGTCCATCCGCAAATTCCTCCTCACAAAAGTTTTTGAAACTTTCCCCACGCGCAAATTCGTTCTCGTGGCCGATACTTCGAACAGTGATGTCATGAAAGCGTATCCCGAACTCGCTCACGACTATCCCAACCAAGTCCAATGCATTTTCCTGCGTAATACCTCGGCTACGGATTCAGACATGTGGTTCCCGTACAACACCGAGGGTTTCAAGGGATTGAACAACAGGAGTTATATGTTCTTCCGTGAGCCAAATGACCTTGCGGGACTGGATATTGTTAATGGGCAGTGTCTGAACGAGTCGATACCTCAGAACGTTACTTTCTCGCGTCAAGCGGAGATTCTGGGGATTCATGGGGATAGTGCGGGTGGCAAGCTGCAGAGCGGTGCGACGATTAGTTTTGTTGTGGCGCTGTTTGCGGCTGTTGCGCTGAGTTTGTAGGGGGTGATGCATGATTCAAGAGCATGAGTACATACGAAGCATGGTGTTGTTGGATTTTGATTCAAATAATTTGGGTTTTGGGCATAGCGGCATGGTCCGCGTTGGTTTTGGATTTCTACTGTGCATAGCTTTTTTTCTGTTGTTCATACAATTATAAGATTGTTACGCTTGACTTCTATCTTCTATATCCATGCATCGCAACACGCTACTAAAACTCAAGCAGGACAGAAACCAAACTTAATCACGACAATGATTCGTGACGATGAACCGCAAATGTTTTAACGCCAGCATCGCACCCTCCCCTCCCTCCTTCCCAACACGACAATAACAACCACCCACAAAGCCCGCAAAAACCCTCTGATCTTACCTCCATCGACAATCATCACTCCACCTGAACATGCGCTGTTTATGGAACCAGCATATCTTCCTCTCCAGATCATCTCGCGGGTGATCAAGCATCCGGCGAGTACCAACCCTACACCTCGGTAGTTTGCCGTCTCTCATAGCTACAGGAGGCCCGTTCTTCCGGTGTTCAGTGCTCATACGACGTGCGTTCTTCTTCTGCTTGAGTTTGCCATGAGCCTTGTGGGTGCGCACGTATTGGAGGGGGTTGTTGTAAGTAGCTAGATCGAGTGCGTCGATTGTGTCTGGGATGGGAGGGCTTGGATAGGTGGAAAGTGCGGAGGTGCGTCGGCGTAGGCCGTTGGGTGGCCATGTGAGCTGGGTGCGCTCATCGGTGATTCCTTTGCCTTTGTAGTCAGTCAGATCAAGTGCGTCGATTGTGTCTGAGACGGTCGGGCCGGGATAGGCGGAAAGTGCAGAGGCGCGTCGGCGGAGGCCGTTGGGGTGAACATTTGTATCGTAGACTGGCTTTGCGAACTTCCAACTGTGGGTAGCCAGAAATTTGTCCACTGAATTCGAGGCTTTGGTATAAAAGCGGAAAGTCATTTTGAGCCTTCTTGGAAGATGCGTTAAATGGTGGATCTGGTTTCTGCAAGCTATTGGGCACTGTTGGGTGTATTTCATGGTCTGGCAAAGGCCTTCTTAAAGACATCGGTTTGGCTAGAAAGCTGGCATTGATACATTGCGACTGATGTTTCTAGAAGTCTCGTAGCTTCTCTTGGGAGTTGTGAGAGACATCTGTGGTATAGAAGCGAGACATTCATGCATAACTGTATTGTCTTACTCTGAGTGCTTCCCCCGCTCGCAGTTCTCGCATTAGCCACCCACGTACAATTTATGGTACTTCCTTGGGAAACCAACACGACTGACTAGAATTACTCAACGCGAAGTCACACCACATGCTTCTTCCTACTGACAATCCTCCTCCTTCTTGTCTTCACCCTTCCTACTCTTATGGAACTTGCACACCTTGTTCTTCACATCATCTCCCGGCCGATCCAACTTGCGATGGGTGCCATACTTGCACAGCGGCTTCTTGTTGTGTCTTTTAGCTGCCATTTCAGCGTTGATCTCCTTTGTTGGCTTCTCTTCCTCTTCCTCTTCCTCGTTTTTGAGTTCTGGACGATGACGGTCTTTGTGGTTCTCGTTGTTCTTGTTAACGGACCCGGCAAGGCTGCGAAACCCGAGGGAAGCAAGCAAGGTGGCCCATATAGACTTGTTGGGTGCAACGGGATCTGGTGTCAAGGGGTCTGGTGTTACGATATCTGGTGTCACGGGATCTGGTGTCATGAGATCCGCTGGTTCACTTTCCTCCGGTACGGTTGAACCGAGAGGAGTAGGCTGGGTAGGCAGGGACTTTTCGAATTCATGCAGTACGGGGCTGCTTGTATCAACGCTGAATTTGCGAGTTCTCACCTGAGCAGGCTCATCTTGATTGCCATCTTCGTCATCGCTTAGACAGCTGGCAGAACGCTTGGTCGAGAGCTTCGCTGGAGAGTCGTATCTGCCATGTTGTAGACCCATGATCTTGGCTATGTTCTGAGATTGGTGGTTGTTGCGGTACGGTGATGCGTGCGTGAAAGATACACTGAACAATAGATCTACCCTCTGTTTTCTGTTGAGCGGCGGAGTACTTAATGTATACTTGAGCAAACATCGCTCAAAGACATGGGATGAACAAGGAAGTGATTGCGAATGGAGCGTTGCACCAGGTGCTTCTATATGTCTCCCGGGTTCTCATCACGTTCGATGTTATTCTGGTACTACCACATTATCCTCCTGAGTGCGAACAACATAAAGAGCAACCCCATCAGAGATACCTGTACCACAATCAATGCCACTACCTTTGAGAAAACGACCAAACAACCATCTCACTCCATCCCTCCCTCCTCAAACCGCCGCGCAACCTCCAAAACCCCCGCATCCAACCTCGACCCCCCCAAAAACGTCACACTAAACGGCAACACCCCCTCATCCCCCTCCTTCCCACTCAACTCCTCAACCGGATACATCCCCGCCGGCACAGCCACACCACAAAGATCCAACACATTCCCACAATGCGTAAACTCACCCAGAATACTATTCTTCTTAATCGGATCAGCGAGCACCTCGTCTATGCGCCAGTGCGTAGGCGTAGTCGGAACAACGACAACATCAACACCAGATGCGGAATATGCGAAGACCTTTTCTGCTTGGCGGGTGTAAAGGGCTTGGGCTTGCAGGTCGCGATACGCGTCTACGGCTGAACTCTTCCGCGCGACAACGGCGTCCATGAGTTGAGCTGTTACGGGGTGGAGGGCTGAGCGGTTTTTCTCGAGGAAGTTGTCTGGAAGCGAGGCGAAGCGTTCAGAAACGAATGTGCCGTCGTAGAGTAGTTGACCGGCTTTTTGGAAGGGTGACCAGTCGATTGGTGTGAGGACGCCGCCGATGGCTTGTAGTCTCGATACGGTCTCGTTGAACATGCGACGGGCTGGTGGTGAGCAAATGGCAAGTGCTTCGGGCGGTGGAATTCCAAATTTGAACGTGCGTGATTGGGGGCCGATGCTGTTGATGTGGCGTTCGAAGCCCATCTCGGGTTTCGCGTACGGGTCGAGGTTGTCGCAGCCTTCTAGTATCTGCCATAGGGTTCGCGCGTCGGATACGGTCTTCGTGGAGAGCGCGATGCAGTCCAGCGATAGGCATGCTGGTGTGATGCCTCGGAAGGAGATGGTGCCTCGTGTGGGCTTGTATCCGACGATGCCGTTGAAACCAGCGGGTACTCTGCCTGATCCGGCTGTGTCTGTTGCCAGCGAGAAGGAGACGAGATTCGCCCCTACGGAGACTGTACTGCCGCTACTTGATCCGCCGCTGATGTAGTCTTTGTGGTATACTGAGTGTGGGATTCCGTATGGGCTGCGGCATCCTACTAGGCCGGTTGCGAGCTGGTCTAGATTGGCCTTTCCTATGAACAAGGCGCCTTGGGCGATGACTTTGTCGTATACTGGAGCGGAGGTTGAGGGTACGTGCGCAAGTGGTGGACATGCGGTCGTGGTGGGAAGACAAGCGATGTCGATGCTGTCTTTGACGCTGAAGGGGACGCCAAACAGGGGTGGAAGTGCATTTCGGTCGGGGTAAGTCGATGCTAACTTCCTTGCAGCGTCCAGAGCTGCTTCGCGCGGTTGTAAGTGTATCCAGACTGCAGGGTCTATCTTCTTGTATGCTTCAATCTTCTCGTAGATCGCCTCAACAACGGTAATGGGTGACAGCCCCTTCTTGTACGCTCGCTGTAAAGCAGATACCGTGATGTCTCCATCAAAAATCGGTGGTGTCTGAGGAGGCGTCGAGTTGGCGGTATTCGTTTGGCTTGACAATGGCGAAAGGGCATCTAGTAACGGCTGCAAACTACCGATGTATCCGAAGAGGCCCTGCGACCAATGTATCATATCCAGCGTCGACTTCTTGAAGCAAGCATCGTTATATCCACTAGTAGCTTCCTCGATACCACAGCATTCGAAACCGCGGTCATTCGCTTCTCGGATAGTAGTAGCAAAGCAACACTCTGTAGTGACACCAGAAACAATCAGATGTGTAATAGCTCTCGCTTTGAGCTGGTGCAGAATGGTCGTATTCCAGAACGAGCCCTTGCCAGGTTTATCGATGACAACCTCCCCAGGAATTGGCTTCAACTCATCGATGATATCGTGTCCATATTCTCCCCGCGTAAGCAGGCGGCCGAGCTCTCCCTTGTCGCCGATGACTAGTTTGTGCTGGGTGTTGCCAGGCGCAGCTTCTTGTCTGATCAATTTTGACGATGGACAGTCGGAGAGATCTGGTTTGTGGCCTTCCCGGGTGTGGAAGACAGTCATGCCGGCACTCCGACATGCTTCCAATAGCTTTTTCGTTGGCGTGATGGATGCTTGGACCGCTTCCAAGTTGCCGCCTTGGATTTCGCCGAAACCTTTGGTTAGTAGGAAGTCGCGTTGCATGTCGATTATGAGTAACGCGGTATGCTCCAGAGGAAAAGAGAACGCGTACGGTTTCGCGTCGAAAGAGAGCATCGTGCCATTGGGTGAGGTGTTTGCCATCGTTCGTGATAATGTGGTCATTCAAAGGGGCCGGCAGTTGGGAGGTTGTGTATGGGCAGACACGCTCAGGTAGGAAAACAACATATACAGAAAGCCGTCAGGGAACGACGACGCGCCATATCTACGTTCGATACCGACTCCATCGGATGAACGTGGGGACTCCAACGCGGGCCGCGAACGGAGTATGCAGCTGGCCTACGGGCCTACGGGTGGGATTTGGAGATGTCTTATCGGTATCGGATGACGCTAGTACCAGATCGGTCTAGCTCAGCTCGCGGATGAGCAATCTCCATCGTGCCCAGCGCCCAACGCTCCTTCATCCCGGTCGACACATCCAATTTGTGGCTAATACTTGCCTTGATAATGATGATGGACCATGTTCGTCTCGGCATGCACCCCGCCATGTCATCAGCGACTATCTCCGAGCCAGGAGCCGAAATGGTTATCAAGCTGGAGACTATCTTGATATAGGGATGCATGTAGCTGTCACGGCTCGAAGTCCAAGACTCTGGGATTTGATAAAGGTCGTATGCAGTTCTTTTGCATTCGACTTTTCCGACTTCACCGTACTGTCTTTAATGATGTCTGTGCTAAAGGCGAGACTTGCACCTCATCTTCATCTGAGAGTACCTTTCGAAAGCGGCAAGTATGGCTCGCGCTGGTCGAACAAAGGTATGTCTCTGGAAGATATTCGTGTGTGAAAGAATCAAGCTGATCGTCGCGTGAACACCAGACCTCGATCCAGTACCACCAGAACAGCGGACCTGGGGAGGTCTCGACTACTGGGCGTACTGGTGCTCAGACATGCTCGCACCTCCTCTGGCGTCTACCGTGAGCAGTGTCATGGCCCTAGGTTTCACGGCAAGAGAGACGATCCCAATCGTCTTCTTCGGCTTTGCCATTTGCAGCGTCGTCATCACCCTCACCGGCAAGATGGGTGCCACATACAACGTGTCCTTCCCCGTCATCATCCGGAGTGTCTTCGGCATGTATGGCTCGTTTCCGGCCATCTGCATTCGAGCTTTCGTCGCCATGATGTGGGCTGCGATCCTAACAGTCCAGGCGAGCAACTTCCTGCAACGCTGCCTTGAGGCGATCTGGCCGAGCTTCATTACCTTTCCGAATCATCTGCCGGAGAGCGCTGGGATAGACTGTAAGGCCCATTCTTCTTATATCATTCCGGGGTGTTACTTATAGTCTTACAGCGGCTGGATTGCTATGCCTGTTCTTGTACTGGTTCCTGCAGACTGCACTCGCCCTCATGCCAATCTCGAAATTACGCGTCCTCTTCTGGATCAAGGGTATCGTCGTGCCGCCAACGTTCTTCGCCCTCTTTCTTTGGGCCGTGATAGTGACGAAAGGGTGAGTGATCTCGCGATAGCCCGCAGCGATGAACGATGCTGACTCAAGATGCAGTGGCGGTCCGCTCATCAAAGGAAAGGTGGAGATCACTTCATCCTACATGAACACCACCTACTCAGTGCTCACCGGCCTCAACGCTGTCGTCGGGCTTTTCTCCTCTTTGGCGGTCAACATGCCTGATTTCGGCCGCTTCTCCAAAAACCAGCTCGCTGGCTACCATCAGTTTCTCGCCCTTCCCATCATCGGAACATTGGGAGCACTGACACCGATCTTCGTTACCGATGCCCACTCGTACCTGTGGGGCGAGTTCGAATGGTATATGCCAACCGTCATCGCGAAGTTTGACTCTCGAGCTGCAAAGTTCTTCGTATCCGCCAGCTTTCTCCTCGCGACAATCGGCAACCAGATCGCAGCGGATACCTACCCGTTCGCGAACGATGTCGCGGGCATGCTGCCGAAGTACATCAACATCTTCCGAGCTACGATCATTATTTCCGTCTTTTGCATTGTATCCACACCATGGAACATCATCAAGAACGCGTCGGGTCTGCTCTCGTTTCTGAGTGGCTACTCATGTCTCATGGGTCCCCTTGCAGGCACGATGGTCAGCGACTACTACCTCGTCAAGAAATGCAAACTCGATGTGGATCAGCTCTACACGCATCGCGGCATCTACTGGTACAATGGAGGCTGGAACTGGAGAGCATATGTGTCCTTCGTTGTAGGGTTCACTCCCCTTCTCCCCGGTTTCGCTAAGAGCATCGACAATAATCTGGACATCGGTAGCGCATGGAAGGTCTACACGTTTGCGTGGATCTTTGGGTTCTTCCTTTCGCTGTTTACGCACTACGTTGTATGTACATACATTTCGCCGGCGACAGGATCGTTGGTAGAATGCGCGGTGTACCCGCCGCAAAAGGGTGAGGAAGCCGCGCCGGTTCTCGAGGGGGAGGAATTATCGAATAAGGAAACTCTTGTGGCAAAGGAGAAGGAGATGGCTAATATGGCTTAATCAACATCGCGCCAAGTACTTCAGTTATGACCAATAATGATTCTTCTGCCTTCTACAGATGATGTCGCGAACGAGATGCGAAGCCCTCGTGTGCTTTTCTGTTTTAGTGATGCCGCTGATTAATTTCCGCTTGGTCCGTGCTTCCACAGGCTGTGCCGCCTCGGCTCTCTCTCGTCCAACCTTGGAATGTGCTCTTCATCCCCCAACCTCCCTGCCAGTGGACCTACTCAACGCGCATGGCACCCACGCCATCAGCGACAATCAATGAACTACTAGCTATGTTCAACACGCGCGAAGCAGGAACGGCAGTGTGATGCTCTGAATTCATGTAGAAGCAGCATCGTCAGCCATCTCGCGAAATCGTTACGCGTACGCATTCCAGGTATCGCGAATTCATCAACAACATACTGGAATCATCCGTCTGCTACCAAGACGGACATATATCGCGTGCTGAAATGCAAGCATGAACTTCGTGCCTGATGAGAACTCGCCGCCAAACTACCTCTTCCCGCGTGTAGCCAACATTCAGACTACGAAGCCCAAATCGCGGCGTCCATGCGATCCTTGCCGACGACGGAAGTCACGGTGCGAGATATCAGAAGGCGGCCCACCCTGTGTTCTTTGTCAATTCCATGATCAAGAATGCACCTTCAACGAAAACCCGCTACCACGGAAGAGGCGTGCCGTGGCTATCAATGAGGTCTCTGAGACTACTGAAACCACCCGTGGCCAAATACCCCTTATAAGCGACTACAGGAGCAACACTGCCACGTCTACATCACCTCAGGACACTACAGCCAAAATCCGCCAGGATCCGCCAATTGACGACTATGCAAATTTACACGGCCCTTCGCTCCTGAAGAAGACGCTGGGCCTGCAAACTGGCAGGCACAGTCGTCTTGTCGGCTCAACTTCGGAGTACGAACGTCTTTTATTAGCACTTGAGCCAGTTCAATCCGCTGGCGCTGCTGATGCTTTGGCTGGGCATCCAAAGCTTCGGAAAGTAGATGACGCTCATGCGACGACGTTCGTCTCATCACCCGACGCCGGTACGCTTAACAGTCAAGGCGACATTCCGGATCTCGACGCTATCGAGATAGCCGTCGCACCACATGGCGCTGCATTGATACGTCTCTTCTTTCGGATTGTACATCCCAGCTTCCCGATCCTGCACAAGAAAGTGTTCCTTGAGAAGTATGAGCGGACTCATCGAGAGTTCTCGCCGCCGCTATTAGCGGCCGTTTATCTCCTAGCCCTCAACTGGTGGACTTATTCCAGCGAGCTAGCACTGCAGTCGAAGCCAGACGTCTCGCATCTAGAGTCCTTGACGATGAGGTCGTTCAGCAACATCATTCACAGGCCTAAGCTTTCGACTATACAGGCAGGGCTGCTGCTTCTCCAGCGACCAGAGGGCAACAGCTGGGCGCTGACATGTCAACTGGTTGGGCTAGCGCAGGAAATGGGACTCCAACTTGACTGTACGACGTGGCATATCCCAGCCTGGGAGTGTGGCCTTCGCAAACGTTTGGCATGGGCTGTATTCATGCAGGATAAATGGGGTGCACTGGTGCACGGTCGCCCCTCGCACATCACGCCGATGGATTGGGATGTACAGCCTCTGACTGTTGACGACTTCCCAGAGAGCGCCGCTGATGAGGATGACGAAGACGGGAGTACTGAAGTGGAGAAGGGTCGGATCTTGTTTTGCTACATGGTAGATCTTACACAGATCTTGGCGCAGATCCTATCGACTTTCTATACACTAAAGGCCGAGCGCGACTTCGCCAGTCGTGCGCACGAAGGCGTACGGTCGCTGCTTAATGCAGCGAAGCCTTTGCAGCTCACTCTACGTCAATGGTATGCCAACATGCCAGCTGCGCTCAAAGTACAGGACATAGCTGCAAGGAAGCTCTCCAGCGTCGGCTATCTTCACCTTGGCTACTACGCAGTCGAAATGACGCTTCACCGACGCATCATCCGCTCGTTATCTCCAGCAGACGACCCCGAACTCCACAACATATGCCGACAAGCAGCGCAGATCCGACTCACATCTGCCATGAGCTTCGTTCAATCTCTGCGACCCGAGCACTTCCAATCCTTTTGGTATTCATCGTCCACCTACAACTTCATACTCGTCGGTTCTTTTATCTCACTTCTTTGGGTGACATCTCCCAGTAGGGAAGAGACAGCCACATACCGCGCCCATCTAGACCAGTATAGGTGGATCATACGCCTCTCGAGCAAGTCGGCAGACTTCCTTGAAAGAGCCCTAGTGTCACTGGATGTGTCGTCCAGTGCGCTAATGAAAGCCATTCCTGACGAAATCAACTCACCCGCTACAGCGATTGGTCGTCAGGCCAGCACGGGATCAAGTCGCGATAATGGTGCGCTCATACCTGAGAGCAATAGGCCCGTGTCTGTTTCGTCGACTCCCTCCGCTACCCGATTCGAATACAATACATTGCTGGAAGGCACCGACCTCGCTGACCACTCGTGGTTTGATGTGATACACGAGAACAACTTCGGCAATGCGTACAATGGCCATGGTGTAACTCCGCCTGGGCAGTCGGACGTGCCATGAGGCGCGATCAACTGCAGCATTGTTGGATCAACCATACCACTGCAAAAGCTGTCGACAGGCTAGATCCATGCAAATTCTGGCAAAGAGTGTTGCAGAGCGCGCATGTCAGCTCTCACCCACGATGGTATTGGCCCTGAACGCTGCAAACCTGCATCGATGAAGCCAGACAACAGCGATGAGCTGCGAGTGTCGGACCAGCAGTCCAAAACACTATTCCGACTTCTTCTACCCGAGCTGGTCATTCAGCAGAGTCGCTCTTATTCTAAGCATATCCTTAGCGATGCGTCATTGTAAGTTGACAGCCCGACACTTCCCTGCTCCGCGCATACCATACAACCTTCAAGGACCCCTTCTTCGTCACATTCAGCGAGACAGAAGCGCCGGCCTATGAGAGGCTGTGAGGCGTTGAATCTATGCGCTTTATACTGCTCACTGGCACAAAAGGACCAAGTGAGCTAGCAACAAGTCCTAGGGCTTCACAGCGGTCACTAGACTAGGACACAGGAGCCGAAAGCCCGACCACAAGACACGGAATCTCTCAATGTGCGTCAGGAATATGCGAATAGTATTCAGATCATGCCTACATCGTCCTGCGATAGGTTGAGGGGGTGAAGCATGTGGAGGTCGAAGTTGAGGACATCAAGGGCAAGGATGAAGACGCTGGTGTTGAAGACGCTGAGGTCGAGGGTCCTATACAGGGGTTGACAGTATAACTTCTTTTATACTGTCAACCCCTGTATAGGACCCTCGGACTCAACATCTTTAGCCTCGATCCCGACGTCCTCAATCGTAGCAACTTCTTCTACAGCTTCTTAGATACGTTAGGCCTCTGTCTCCTCTGCCCAGGCTCTGGAGTCTACGTGGACCTAATCTTGATCAGTCTCATCCGTCTGGAATCACGCCCAGGTTTACGCCCGCTTGCAACCTAAGCCATGATTTTGGAGAAGCGCATTCATGACTATGCAGCTGCAATATGTATGCTGTTGGCCAAGAAGGCATTGGCGAATGGCCCATCCAACGGATGACCTGCTGCACACCCATAACGCAGCCTCCACTTCCAACATGATAGAAGTCGTACTGGGAACGGATCCTCCCCAGCCACCCAGGGTAGCTTCGGCAAGAGACTTCTATGGGGCTTGACCAGACATCGCCAATCCAGAATGAGGGAGAAAGAAGCGGTGGCGTGATAGTCTCTTGTTCCGGTGCTCGTCTCGCTTTCTATAAGAAAGGTTTCATGCTCGCTATTAGCAAATATTAGGCTACTAGCCAGTCCGATATCTATTCTCTACATAGTACGATACTACTTATCATCCCTGCCACCCCACCCCACTCTGACGCAGCCACGACTCTCTCCAAAGCCATGACCATCGGTCTCGTTGCCATTTTCACTTCCCTAGCTGAACGTGTACCCGTCACGGCGCGCAACGCCAAGATGATGGCGCTCCAGACTGTGGGTTGCGGCGAAGTTTGTCATTCCACGCAGGTAAGTGGTGGCCGAGTATGGAGGTGGCAAAGATTGCTGATGTTCTTTGTTAGGGCCTTTTGGGGATTTACGGCTGCGAATCGTGCCAATATTCTAGTTCTATCTACTTTCAGGGAAGGTTAGGGCATCCTGTCATATTGTCACTTCATCGTGGATAAGGCAATTTTATCGACAGTCATACCTGGGTCTCATTCGTTGCAATTGTGTGATGCACCGTATTGCGAGCCATGAATACTTCATACACTATCCTAGTATGATCTCGTCGAACTGAGCAGCCTGATCCCATACGTCCTTCAAGATTGTAGCTACACCCCGCCTCTCGAATACGCCTGGTTTACCGTTGACTGGTATGACACAGAGCGCCTGAACTTCAGGCTGTCCGGAGTCGCTGAGCCAACCAGCTTCAACATAGGAGATGCCGATGAAATCCAAGGTACCAGCTTCGTCCCAGAGAAATTGTGGAGGCCAGCGGTCGAAAGTCATATGGCCTACAATGGTCTCCTCTGCATCGTTTGTAGTTCCCAGCGGTATCAGAGATCTTAACGCTTCATTCGTAGTGTCTCCAGTGCTCAACGGTGTGCCTATTTGTACCAGTTTATCTTCCTCTTCATCTTCCTCTTCCTCTGATAATACACCAAACCGCGCTCTTTGTGCTTGGATGTACAGGTATGGGTCAAGATATTCCGGCTTGACTCGCTCCGGAGACGCCTTCTTGCTGCATTTCTCGCTAGTCATCTGATGATTCTGCAGACAAATATCACATTGCGCATCTATGACAATAGGTACCTGAAGCTCTTTGGCCTTATCCTTACCACTAGGCCACCAATGGCCGAGAGGTCTGCTGCGGATCGTTTGACAATTGTGTCGCCAGGCCATCCACGACCAGCTGGGCATGACGAATGATCCATCTTGACGTAGTAACATTCTCCTCTCCAAGATAGCCGTCCCCGAGCTCCACAAGAGCGCGTGTGAAAGTTTACATATCGGGTGCCCATATAGCAATCTCGTATCGTCCAGGCTCGTGAAGAAGTTGATGACCCCTAGGAACGCTTTTATAGAATCTTGGTCGTACGATAATGCGCGAGAAGCGAAACTTTTTGCCGCTAGTGAGTATACGTCCCAGTCTGGTTTCCGTATCAAGACCGCTTTTAGAGCATCCTGGTCGTACGATACTGCGCGAGGAGCGAAATTTTCTGCCGCGAAATTTTTGATCACTTGTGAGAATGCTCCCCAGTTTGGTTTCCATTCAGTCAGCGAGGCTTCACAGAGGGTTGGCACAAAACCTCCCATTCTGTCTGACAGGTTGTCACTGAGCTTGAAGCCAAAATCTGAACCCTCTTCTGAGATGTCCTCTACACATTTGAGACAAATGCGGTCGTCGATTACTAGCACCCTTCGAGAGGAAAAGCCCTCTTGTAGTGTCCAAGCTCGCGAAGACCATGGTAAGGCACCTAGAGTCTCTCCACCCTTGCCAAGCACGTAGTTTGGATAGTTTATGACTTGACCAGGTAGAATACGGCCAGTCGAACGGGTATCGTATCCGGTGATGCCGCCGTTTGCGTTGTCCTTGTTTGCCACCAAGATTGTCAGGAATGCGTTGGCATAGATCAAATGCATTCGGTTCAGGTAGAACGAGATGTTAGGATCGTTCTGAATGAGGCAGAGACAGTCCACCCATAGGTAGCGAATGTCCAAGTCTGCGGTCAGACGCATAGCATCTCTAATAGTCTGCGGAACAGTAACGACATGAGATCCAGATGACAGGCTCCGAGGTTTTCGAAGCTCCTCCATGTTTCCAGAGGTTAAGTTGGTAGATTTGACGTTACCCCAAACGTAGCTTAGAGCTATATAGCGCACATTCGAGACGGGTTTCAGAGTAATGCACTCCTCGACTACATCGATGAGATAGAGCGACATGTCCAACTCGTTGGCGGGATCAGACCGACAGACTTCATGCTCGCCCTCGCATGTATGCAGCCACGATTTGATAAGTACTATGGGGAGATTTTTGGCTTCGTTATAAGTGGCCAAATCGGGTCGAAGTCGCATAGGATAGTCCGAGCGCGGTAACAGGTAACTGTCGTGATATTGCACGCGGTGGAATTTCCAGGATATCTCGACGCATGCTGACGATATTTCTCCCCTGTGAGGCTCAAGGAAGTGGTCCCCTTCAATCCTGAGTGTGATATTGCACATTTTGGTGCCCATGGGGCCCATTTCGTCGAGTATATTGAGAATATCTCTGCATGATGGGCAGGTCGTGTCTGGCTTGATGTCGGTTGTATCAGCTTTCAACGAAAGAACCAGGAGTTTTTGACGATCTTGTATGGGCGCTGTGTTCGGAATGTCGTTGAAGGATCGATCCACACGTAAGCACTCTTCGCAATACAACGCGTCCGCATCCGGTGACCCTTGAGAGTTTAAAGGCGCAACTTCAAAGTTCTCCTCCATGTCCATGATAGTCGGTGCTTTGCGAAACAGAACTAAATCGGTTGCTGTAGTTCAGTTCATAGTGGCATCCGTAGAGCAGCAAGTCGGATTGTAACTGAGAAGGCTACAAAGAGAGTGATGTGTTATATGCCCCACCATCGTTGCTGCCTACGCCAAGTGAGGCGCATCTCACCAGGCAGTTACTTCCGGCCTATCAGCCATGCGAACGCCTGATGCCTCACTTCAGGACAGTGTGGCAGAATCGAGTTTCGCTAACAAGCAACGGGTTATACTGCTATATGTGAGAGCCGTTCATCGAAGCGCAGCTCTCGCGCATCGCAGATCGGACAGCTGTTGCTATCCGAAGGGGAAGCTTCATCTCTGTTCGCACAACCCACCAAGGTCCCTCAAGTATGCCTCCAGCTCCAGAACGTTCCGCCAAACTCATCCCACAGCACACCACATCACACCACCACACCATCTCACTACCACCTCACGCCTAGACCCTCACAACAGCCCCGCATCTAGACCTCACCTTCAACAGCTCCCTCCCCAAAATGAGGGGTAAGACGCCCAAGTAAAGCATTCGCAAGCCCTGCTGCAGCACCGCCGATCCCATACCGCATGCATACGGACCGATAACACAGCTGCACGCTATCTAAAGCGAGACCGAACCACCATATCTATTCGACACCCGATTCTGTTGGGAAGTATGAACGGCTTTGAACCACCGTTTAGGTGTCTGTAGAGCGATGCGATGCGTTTTGGTGGGTGTGTCGCGTGTGGTGTTGCTTATTGGGTTTGTGGGGGAAAGCGGTGGGTGACGTCATGAGCACGTTGTTTGGTGGAAGGAGCAACGTGGTAACGTGGTTGTGGTGTGGCATCCACGTTGTCGCGAACGTTATCGCCATCGCTATCTAGACATCATCCGAAGGGCCGAGAAGGAGAAGCAAAGGACATCCCCGCTTTACAACGTTGGAAAGACGTGGTTTGAAGTCATCGAGATTATTAAACAGAGCGATCGCGTATCAGCGTTGCGGTGCGGAGAGAACCCACGAAAAAGCACGCTGCGCGAAAGAACCATGGGGATGCAGGGACCGCGCGCCAACATGTCGCCAGAAGTCCCAATTGGACAGGAAGGGCTCTACCGGCCAAACGCCCCGGTACGCTTACGAAGGTTTATTTCGGGATGATAAAACAAAATGCACAAGAAGCATTGCGTGAACGGCAAATATTACGTCGTCAAAGCACGCGACACGGGACGGGATGGAACAACAGCAAATGACAGCGATGATGCGTGATAAAGTGATCATGATTTCGTAAACTAACTATACAGAGTTCTTGTCGGGAACCTAGCAGTTCCATCGACTTGATGCAACGATTGCATCAAAGAGGGGGTATCTGTTTTCTGATTTGAGCACTTCATTTCAGAACCGTTGCGCCAATTGCCAGTCCAAAAAAAGCAAACGCCGCTCGCAAAACACAAGAGAGCAAAATCGCGATCGTGATCCTCGTAACCCTCACGTCATTGCGCCATGAGAAACCTTACATGGCGCGGACGTGCGTCAAAGCATGGGCCTAAGCCCACGTCTTGGAAGTGTTGAGACCGAGCTCGAGATGCTGTGCGATGGCGTCGGCAAAGTCGCCGCCAGCGTTGGAAGAGTGACGGCGGCGCTCGCGTCGTATTTGGTGCTCGGCTTCCATGAGGCGGCCTTGCACCCAGGCGCGCTGCTTCTCGTCGTTGCGGATGCAGTCTGTGTTCATGAGCTCGGTGAGGGTAGCGACGATTTGTTGGTTGATCACGGCGAGCTTGTGGGATTCTTCCGTGTGCATGTCGTCGACACTATTGCGTGGGGTGGAGCTGGTCCTGGAGCTGACGGCGACGGGGTCACTGGCTGCGGGAAAGGGCGTGGAGTACTTGGGCGAGGACTCGGGCGAAGATGAGAGAGACTGAAACTCTGGCGACGATGCTGCCATGGGAGCGTTGAACGGAATCTCCATGGCCATGCGGCGTTGGAGAGCTTCCTTCTGGGCGGAGAGGAGCATGTACTTCTGCATCGACTCGTTCTGGATAGCCATGTTAGTATGTGTAAAGGAAGGAAGCACTTCGGAGGAACTCACTCTACATAAAGTGGGTCGCGACATGGGAGCCATGGTGTAGTCTGATATGGTGTTGCTTGGTGTTGGTATCGTTTAACGTGGAGAGAGATTTGATTCCTGCTGATGTGGGGTTGTCGGGTTACTGATAGAAATACCAGTTGACAATGCCAAGAGCGTTGGTGCTAGGAGATCGGCGGAGCCCCAGAAGTGTGGGTACGAAAAAGTTCTTGGTGGTGGACCAGAGTGGAGTGATGGTGATAAGGTGATGCTGCCGCGACGACTCGGTGATGGTTGATGCTTAAGTATTGAGGCCGGTGATGTCGACAGAATATTCCAGAGTTTGACGGATTCGCAAATGCGGTCTCCTGAGTCTGGGGATGTGCTCGCAACTTAAACAGTTTGTGATGGGGCCGCGCATTCACATTCCCGGAATAGGCCATGACGTGCGATTAACACACCTGCACCGAAACACAGCGCGGCTGAATCCGTCCTTCCGCGGTCACTGTGTCGAGACGCCTTTGAGTAACGGGGCCCGTTTCGCAGAACCCTGTTGGGATAGCCAGGGGTTGGGTCGTAGTCCAGCTGTGATTGGCGGAGTCAGCCCCCTTGCTGATCCTCCTGCTTCCCCGAAAGGTAAACTAAGCGACATAACGTCACTGGTAAGAACCTGAATGTAGGGCCATGGCGCAGGATCGTGATCCAGTAACAGGATCGCACATGAAAGGTCTTGAAGGAGACGATGGCACATGGTACCTGCATTATCGTGAGTAATTTTGCCTGCAGACTCTTGCCCTTCACTTGTGGGTAACTTGTGGGTAATGCGAATTCTCTGCCCTCCATCACAATGCCATGATGCTGCCGAAAATGCCATGGTGACACAGTATGACGTTTCGCTTGATCCAAAATTATTTCTGAGTCAATTCGGCGCAGGCCGAGGCGGCGCGGAGACATCCTGCGACGTCACTTTTGCATGGTGCTGACATTGGGCAATTTCGCTGTTCGGGCGGCTTTACAGTGCAGCACATCCACAGATGTGGCTTTTTTGGAGACATCCCAAATGATAATTAGGCGCTGCATTTGACCACATTCGATTCCGCTCAACGTGTCTAGAGGCCAAAAGTCAGGCTTAGCACGAAAAATCAGGTTTCGACGCCACATTAGTGGCTCAGTCCCACGTGTATCCGGGTTTCGGCTTGGGTGTGACGTTCCTGTGCAAGCCTCAAACCCCAACCATGGGCATAACAGGGCTGTTGGAAATTCGATCGTCGTTTCTAGCGTATCAGGACCCCGTAAAGGTTCCACGACAAGGCTTCCAGAACAGACCCTTGATCCTTCACGCGGCAGGGAAGTGTCACGCTGAAGTGCCACGTTGGTGACAGAACGCTCGTGGGATTCGTGTAAATTGTGGACGATACCGCCTAATCATAGACAGCCGGAACAAGACCTTGGCTTATCGTTGCCCTGGCGCGCAGCGATTACACCCAACATTCAGGTATTCGCATGTCCTCGAGTAAGCGTCATGTCTGAGTGACATACTCCGCATGATACGCGTACGGCACAAACACCTCACTGCCTGGTCGGGGTTGGTCTTAGAAGATCGAGGGCCTGACCGCGCAGATCATACGGCGTCGTCAATCAACGCCCGGTCGCTGCAGAAGGGATTGACCGAAAAGCAAGCGTCTACCGGCATTCAGCGGATGTACATGAAAGTGATGCGACATGTTGCGAGACATGAGAGCGGTGTGGTACAGGCGTGTCACTCCTCAGTAGAGTGTCGATCTGACCAGAAGCCTTTGCCGTAGCTGACGAGGATCTCTTGTCCACGTCCGATGCCCTTTGCTCTCTTTCCGCTTTTGCCAGCGCTGAGCACGAATACTCCGACTCTCTTCTCCGCCTTCCCGTTCCCAATGTCTACAAATATGTCGCGAAACTCGGCGACCGGTGCGGCAGCGACGCCTCGGTAGTCGTTGACGAAGCGTGCTTCGTTGCCCATTTTGGATGCATCAACGCCGATGCCTAGTTCGCGGTCGAGTGAGAGATCGTAGTCGGATGCTTCGTCAATGTCAGTCTGATCGTGCACATAGCCCAAGTACGGCAAAATGAACGAGTCTGGTGGCAGATGCTGGTTAGCATAAAGCGCGTGCTGTCCATGTGCAGGATGCGCAGAGTCCGTGACGGGTGTGATCTTGACGTTCGAGTATGGCCCATTCGGCTTGTAAACCTGTGTATCGGGTGGTAGATCGGACTTTGGCGATATAAGTGCGCTAACTTTGTCTCTACAAAGCTTCTTGGAATATGAAGGTGCATGAAGGTAGATGGTTTGCCCATCCCACCCCTTCGGCACAGCGCCAGATGATTTTGTCATCTTGCTATCGAATTTGATAGACTTGCGCAGCTTTCATCTAATTCAGTCAGGCGGTCGTTCCTTCGCGTGGGTCGAGAAGGCAGGCTTGGTTTCTCTGTAAGGTGCAAGAGACTCCTGAAAAAGATGCGCAGTCTATGAGCTACCGTGCTTCTCGGTAAAACGTTATGCGAAATTTGGTGGCGAGGTGGTGAAGTGAAGTTGTTGAATTGAGAAAGTCATGGGTAGTATTGAGCTGTGGAGGGGCTCTTGCCCGACCGGCAACACTTCGGCGGGACGGGCTAGAAGCGACAGGAACACCCACTCTCGCTCACCGTAGCACTCACTAACACCACACTACGCCTCGCCCTTTATCGACGCGACGCTCTCTAGCTCTGCGCGGAAATGATCACTATTTGTGGGATATGATAACGCGGAAGGATCGGGTTTCTTCGTGTTGAGCAGCGCGTCATTCGTTCTCCGACGAAACATCTGCGCCCAAGTAGGTGCCGCGCTTAATGCGTAACATGCGACTACCATTGTGGCGCTCACTAAGCTCATGCGCCTCTCCTGAGGAATGTCGGATGCGAGATTGCGCTTCTAATGTTACAAGGAATGCTGTGGGTGGATGACTCTCGCAAGAAGAGCCCCCGTATGACAAGAGCTGAGACAGAGCTGAAAGCTGGACAGCCTACAAGATCACAGCAGCTCCGGCAACAGCTTTCCGCTACATCTCGATGGCTACAATAGTTCGCAACACTGGACGGGCTGTCGGCCCTTCGCTGGATCTAGTCGAGGTCTAGATGCAAGGGCAATGCAGGAACCCGCACGTCCCCAGTCCATCGTGAACCAACGACCTCGCCAGCATCAGACCGGTCCAATCTGGCCCTTCTCCTATCAGCGAAGCTATTTTTGCTCAGACGCGGGGATTGCTCCAGATACTCTCACGATTACCCATCTCCACTCTGATCGGGATTCCAGTGCCTCTGGCAAGGAGCCCCTAATCGTCGCTCTGTTCAGGTGTTCTTTGTCACAGTCAGCGGCTGGGCGCCAATGCCAGCTGCCAGTGTGTCTTACACCTCGATACAGTCGCGCGGCTTCTTCTCTGCTCAGAGCTGACATGCAGGTGCGGATCACGAACCGGAGATAGGTACCTACCGGGCGATTGAACATGTTCCGCGTGCACAAATCGAACGCTTGCGGCAAAAGCAGCTAGAACGACGGGCGATGTGTTGGGGCGGCAAGGCCCCTTGGCAGGGGAAATTGTCAACCTCATTTCGTTTCTGCACGCAATCCACCTTTTGATTGGCCCGCTCGACTTCCATCAATAAACAGCTCACAACGGCCCATGTCGAAGCTTTCCACAGGTTCCCCTATTTCGTACTATGCCAGGCACAGTCCACCAAACGGCGCCACCGGCACGCCAGAGCTCTCGCGATACTGCCAACCGAATGCAACTACGCCAATGCCCCCTGTTCATGGACACTGGTGGTCTTGGTAAGGCCAGCTCGTGTATAGTTCTATATAATGGCTTCGCCAGCTGCTCCTCAGTTGATTCCTCACCACACACTCACTACACTCACTAATACACGGTTATCACCGATCACACTCGTTTTCAACGACCTCCAACGCCTTACAACTTAATACCTTCCGTATTTTAATACCCACCCCCCAAACCAAACATCAAGATGCGTTCCTTCGCCGTCATTGCTGGCTTCGCCGCCGTTGCCCTTGCCGCTCCCCAGGCTTACGAGGCTTACCCTGCTGCCCCGGCCTCTTCCTCCGCCGCTGCTGAGTACCCCGCCTACCCTGCTGAGACCCCCGAGGCCTCCAGCTCCATGCCCGCCTACGAGGCCGCCACCTCCTCCGCTGCTGAGTACCCGTCTTACCCCGCTGAGACCCCCTCCGCTTCCATGGAGGCTTCCAAGCCCGCCTACGAGGCCAGCTCCATGGCTCCCGTCTACTCTGCCTCCAAGCCCGCCTACACCACCACCGAGGTTGTCCACGCCACCAGCTACGTCTGCCCTGAGCCCACCACCATCACCTACGGTGTCTCCACCTACACCATCTCCTCCAGCACCACCCTCAGCATCCCTGAGTACACTGCTACCTACGTCCACACCCCTACCCCCGAGATCCCGGCTGTCCCCATGCCCACTGTCACCTCTGCTTCCGTCCCGGCTGCTGAGCACACTGCGCCTGCCTACACCCCGGTCTCTCCCATCTACCCCTCCTCCAACGGCACCGTTCCCCACGTCCCTGCCGGAACTGCTGCTCCTACTGGCACTGGTGCTATGCCCAGCGCCTCCAAGCCCGCTGAGTTCACCGGTGCCGCCGGCAAGGTCTCCGTTGGCTTCTTCGCCATCGCTGGTGCCCTCGCTGCTTTCTTGTAAGCGGTTCGCTCTTGAGTGATTCGTCAGGACATGGCTCGCCACGTCCTTGCTAGTCTCTTCTCGAGTTGTGGAAAGAGGAGGAAATAAAACATGGCTTCACGGGTTACGACTTCGACTCTGCATCACGATTCAGTCTAGGATTGGGAGCGCGGTGTTGGTGGTACGAGCCCTTTGCTTCCTTGCGCAATCAAGTCGCAGCGGCATTTCGATGGATCGATATACTTGGTATTGTAATACGCCTTGGTTGGAATGCTTACTGGCCCTATGGAGGGAGTCGTGTGGTCCCCGGTGGTCTTTTTTGTTCCTAGACTCTTTGCCTGTTCTGAGAAGAGTTGGCTATCTTAATGACATGATTTCCACCTTTACTTTACGACTTGACTGTCTACCTGATACCCTTCTGTACATATTCTACCATCAATGCATTTGATCGTAACTTTACATCATTCGCTTCTATAAACTGTGGTGTAACCTCTCCCACCATCGCCGTCTTCAAAACCTCCCATGAACTGACGTCTTGACAATCTTTCCTTCTTTACCCTGATCCTCGCACACGAACCATCGTTCAAGTCGGGTCGCCCCTGAGACCCTGCACCGGGAAATTACACAGGCCGCCTTACCCTGCCGCAACTCGTGCCTGGCATGTGGCCCCCCACCCATTCATCCGCCCGTGCATTCCCCAAGAACGCCAAACTACCGAAAGCGTCACCTTTCGTCCAACCTAACAATAAATTGACGGCATCTCGGCTTCTGCGACCCTTTGTTTTAGTCACGGCGCGTGTATCCATTCCTGATGTTGTTTGCAGGACTTGGGTAGGCGAGCGGATATATTGCTTTTTTGCTTGGGGAGAGGGTTGACGCGTGGCTCGCGCGACGCATGCCGTGCTGTTCGAGAACGCAGGATCGATGGCCTTCCTTCACGAAAACGACATGCCAAGAGCCGCAATATTGCGAAATCGTTTGGGCAGACCGATGCCGCATGCGTGCGCATCTGCGTCTGGCGCTTCTACTATACCACCATCTTACAGCCGGGGTCAGCTTGTTACTTTCCGGTCACCCAATCATGATCCAAGGAGACGCCATTGCGTGCTACAAAGGTTTATCCGGTCTTATTGGGACATCTTGTATCGGCCAGAGATGCCTAGCTTGGCAGAGGAAGATTCACATCGGGAAGTAAGCTCAAGAGGTCTGAGTCAGAATAGCTTACTGCCATCATCAATATTCTGGAGCTTTTCTCTTTACACCTCTGCATCCCGGTTGTTTTGGAAAGCTCGGACTAAGAACGAGTTCTGGGAAGGAACGCTTTCCACCGCAGTTACCTCTCTTTGTCGCGAGGGTATGGTGCGAGGATACCGCATTCATAGTCTTGGATACTATCGTGCAGACAACAATTGAAACGCTCAACTACTACAACAAATCGCGATGATGCTCGCTGGTATCTCTATTATAGATGTAGCTGACCTAGATACATATCGCATTCTCGAAGACAGACGCCGATGTCTTTGTAGCCGCCTCACTGGTGTTTACTTCCCTTACGTGCGCTTCCATTTTGGCAGGTGCAAGCGTCCCCAACCTTGGAAGGAACGAAATACCGAGGCCTACACGCCACCGAGGAAAGGCTGCGAGCGTTCGACACAATATGGGCTGGCATTGCGTTGCCAGAGACGCTGCCTGCCCGAGTACCAGAAGTCGACCAGAAGGTTCTTCCGGCGCATGCTCATATCGAAGACCGAAACGGTGCGGGCATGGAGCCTATCCAACCCTCGTCTCCTCCCCCGTCGCCTGCGCTGCCGCGAAAGCGCCAGCGGATGGGGGCCGTCAACGCAACCATCACACTCTCATCAGATGTCCAGAACGAAGACCACACCGAACCAGAGCCGAGGGCCGACGACTACATCAAAGTCGTCTGCGCATAAAAACTGTACAACGACATGCCTTTCCGGCAGAAGGTTACCAAGGATACATACATCTTCTTGCGGCAGATGCGACCGGACCTTGTGCCTTGGACTGCTAGCATATGGGATACGAACACTGCGCGTGACGGCACGGTACTTGGCGGTTGCATGTTCGCCCAAGCTGATCCTGCGAAGGCCTACAAGCAAAACAAGCTCGTGAAGAGCCCCGGGATAGTTCTAGAGTATGGGATATATGCTGGTGTAGGTTGCATGCTGGTGCACGAGCTTCTCGACATACTTCGTATGCTTGAAACCGTCTAAAGATAGTAGATCTAGGTATAAGCAAGGTGACTAATAGAGAAGCTACGAGTTTATTCAAAGGTAGGATAAACAGGTTTGCCGAATACATCCACGTCGAATGTGCCAGTGGGTATTGTTGTGAGCGGTTGTCGCAGTCTATACAGCATGCTGGAAGCTTGCATCTCCGACATGAGGCCTGGCAGTGTCATCACCAGCGCATGTATGTTTCGCAGGTGACAGCGCACCGTATCGTGCACCAATACCAACCCTTCCTACACTATCTGACTTGCGAGGTCAGCCGCCCAATTCAGCTCCGGTTCGGTGGTACGAGCATTGAGTACATGCGACAACCGCCTTTTGCATCTGCCGACAACAGCCTTAAGCCAGGTATTCCGCGGCATCCTATTCGATCGGCGAGGCACCTACAAGTGCTCTGATCGCGTATATGTAGCAGGTCGTACGCCAGTGTAGGGCTCAACCATATCAGAAGGCTTGCTGAAGCCGGTTCCAACTTCCTCGTCTTCTCCAATCCAAGTCACAAGACTACCACAGACAGACGAGCGATCAACGAATGATAGGCCAATATCCTCCTAAACAAGCCTTTCTCCTCGCTACTGGCATCGCAAAAAGCATCGAAAAGCTGGAATCAACTCAAGCTGCATACTGGATGCTGCGTCGCGATTCCGAGAAACGAGATTGAAGGTTGCGCAGGCCCCAAGGCGCTCGTGCGAGGGCGTAAGAAACGCCACACCTCGTATTATACTTCCAAGTCGCATACAACCAAAAATCGCATGTCTCTGGACACCTGCGAAAAGCACTCAGAGGTATGATAGCTGACTATGGGCTGTTAGCCCAACAGAGTGTGATTGATGTCAAATTCTAAGCCTGTCAAGAGGTCGTCCCTTCTATCTCAACCACGACAGCAGTAACACCAACGTCAACACCACCAACGTCAACACCACCAACGTCAACAAGAGGGCTGTCAGGAGTAGCTGCAAAAGATGAGCTCAATACATGCCGCTCTCCCGCACGAAAGGGATATTTTGCTTTGTAGTAAAAGCGTGAAACACTTACCTACCCGCATCGCTCACACAGCCGAACCATAGCGTACAACACCGAAAAGACGCTGCGAAAGTAGTCAAGAGGCCTCTAACAGCCTCTCAGCGAACAGTATTACTATCTTACCCCTACCAGCTCCCTGATGGTGCGCGCTGCAGTGATAAGCCTAGGCGACTACTCTAAGACTACGAAGTAGATCTGTACTTTCGTACATCGCTTTAGAGAACACGGTGCAGGTCATGATCCGGTTTTTGACTGCCATCTTGCTGATCGGACGGTGTAGTATGGGCTTTCTTGGCTTAGAATATGTTGGCCTGGGCTACTGCATTGAAGTAGATACGGAAGAATACATCCCGATCTATAGTTGTGAACCATACGATATAGGTCATCATCCAGTTTCTGACTGCCAAATCGCTGATCGGACGGTGTATTATGGACATTTTTTCCTTTCAATATTTCAGCCTGGACTACTACATTAGCTCAGATACGGAAGGATAAATTCTAATGCATGAGCCTGAAGCATACGACATAGGTCGTGATAAAACTTCTACCTGCATTCCGACCAAATCTACAGTGTGCGTTGAGACTACCGCGAAGGTCAAAGAATGGAAAATCACTTCAACATACCCGTTTGAAGCATACGATATGAGTCGTGATGATATTTCTAACTGCATTCCCACCAAATCTGCGGTGTGCGATGCGACTACGACGAAGGTTAAGGCATCGATACGTACTTCAATACACCCGTTTGAAGCATACGATATGAGTCGTGACGAAGTTTTCAGCTGCGTTCCGATCAAACCTGCGGTGTGCGATGCGACTACCACGAAGGCTAAAGCATGAATACTTACTTCAATATACCCGTTTTGAGCATACAATGTGAGCCGTAGTGGAGTATCTAGATGTCATGGGTTAGCCAGGCGGCATCGAGTGAACTTGACATCTTCGAATAGAACGAAATTGCTGGATGCATTCTCGTACCAAGAGCCAAACACACCTCAACTCATCGCAACGCTTCAAGGCATTCGCAGCTACTTGCTTCGTTACGTACATATGCTTTTTAATTATCGTGGAAATGCAGCATAAAGAACCTTGGAACGCATGCTTTATACTCCCGGCCGGTTTCCACCTATCTTCACCGCCCCAAGACTCATCCTTAACTACAATCACACAAGAGTTCATAGCATTTCACGGTACCAACATGTAAATATAGTTTGACTCAAGTCTTTCATTGCACCATGCTACGCTAAAAGCCTAACATGCCTGTCCGAAACAAACATGAAATTGGGTATCATCTCGAATACACTAATCCAGCCTTTTCGTTCCAAAACGCCTAGCACTCGGTTCGGAAAACCAAATCTCGTCCGCACATCGAGGCATTGTGCCTCAAACATCTTCGCTCTCTACATACCGCTGCGTGCGAGAGCCCAGGAATGCTCGAGAATGACGCCACGTGAAGATGATGCCGCTGAATATGATACATGATGAAACAAAGGCCGCCTGTGAGCCTATATACCCACTCTCTTACTATCGTATTTCCATAATTATCCGGGAGCTCTTGTCTGAACCTGCATTCAGCGATCAACACCCACCTTCCCAACACCCTTGCTCATCTTCTTGCCGACGTCCAGATCGTCAAGCTGTCCCTTATTGAAGAAGTGAGGAGCTAGTTCACTGAGCCATGATGCTTCAATTGGAGCGACAGTACGCATCCACGACTTTGAAGTCTCCACCTGCTCGAAGTAGCATACCAAACGTGGCCGCTTGTCTCTCAGACAGGAGGATGGGTGGATCCAGACTTGATTGCGCGAGGAAAGGCAGCGATAGCTCATGCCATCCTTGTTCAGCCGGGCAGTATTGGCGAAGTATGCCGAAGTCCAACTCTTCATGATCTTGACGTGATCAGCTGACCCACAGCTACTCCTCTCTATCTCGACCTTGTCACAAAGTCTGAACAGCTGATCTCGAACATCGCCCACGCGATTGAGCGACCGATACTGAACGAAATTATCCTGACACCAACTTTTGCTGAAGCCTGTCTCCTCAAACTCGTTCCAAAGGTTCAGAAGTGAAATCATGTCCCCATGCTCTGATGCAAATCTCTGGCGTGCAAGGTCTGCTGCAGCTTTCTTGTCTTTTGGGGCAAAGAACAAGGTATTCCCTTCGGACACCATGGCTACAAGCGTGACCATCTCATCAATACATCCGTGGCTGTCAGCAGCCAGCAGAGCCTTCGCTAGTTTCGGATCCAATGGCAGTTCGCTAGCCTTTCGACCCAGTTTCGTGACCTGTCCTTCACTGTTCAGAAAACCCAAAGCATATAGCATTTCTAGAGATGCTATCATCGCGTCGCCATGAGGGGGAGATGGAAATTCGAAGTTCAGGATATCGTGGATGTTCATGGACTTCAGCATAAGTATCAAACTGTCCAGATTGCTGCGTAGTATCTCTGGCTCTGTCTGAGCCGGCAATTCGTTGTAAAACGCGTATTTGGTGTATAAACGGAAACAAAGTCCGGGACCCGTACGTCCAGCACGCCCAGCACGTTGATTGGCGCTAGCTTGTGAGGTGGGTACCACAGATAGAGTCTCTGTAGCAAGTCTGCTGTCATATCGTTTTTGTTTGACCAAACCAGAATCGATGACATAAACGATGCCGTCTATGGTCAAAGATGTCTCGGCCAGATTTGTAGAGAGCACGACCTTACGAGCGTTAGGTGGAGGGACTGAGAAGATCGCGGCTTGCTGGGACGACTCTAAAGCGCCGTACAATGGTGCTACCACGACAGGGGCCATTCTGTTTCCGAGCTTTTTGGCAGTAGACTCGATAGACTCTGCGGCCTGTATGATCTCATCCTCTCCGGTAAAGAAAATGAGTACATCACCTTGTGGCTGGCTGGCGTGTAGCTGCCAGAACGTAGTTAAGGCCGCGCTCAGATAGTTGGCCTCCGGTGACGACGTGTAGAGTTTCTGGACCGGAAAGGTTCGGCCTGGAACAGACAAAATTGAACTGTTATCGAAGTAGGAAGAGAAGAATTGAGCGTTGAGAGTGGCCGAGGAGATGATAAGACGAAAATCCGGTCGGCATCGGGTAATCTCCCGTGTTAAGACCATCAACACGTCCGTAGCGATGGTCCTTTCGTGCGCCTCGTCCAGTACAATGACCGAGTACTCTTCCAGTAGAGGGGACGTTAAAGCGGTCTTCAGAAGAAGACCATCCGTGAGGTAAACAATTTCAGTAGCCTCGCTGAACGCCTCCTCGAAACGGACCTTGTATCCAACTTCCTTACCCAGACGAACACCAGCTTCTTCTGCAACGCGCTTAGCAACACTCATAGCTGCCACGCGTCTCGGTTGCGTACAGCCAATCCGCCCCTTTTTCGCGTAGCCAGCATCGCGCAAAAATTGGGTCATCTGGGTCGTCTTCCCGGAGCCTGTCTCAGCGGTGACAATGAGTATCTGCTCAGTCTGTAGGGCCTTTATGAATTCATCCTTGTATTGGTAGATCGGTAATGAACGGCGAACTTCATCGATCGAGGCGGCATGCTTCTCTGCTTCGTCCACGAGCGCCTCCAGTCTCTGCTTCTCGAGGTCTACTATAGGTCCATCGTATGCTACGTTCTGCGATGGATCGAAGACGTATTCCCAGTCCTGCTCTCGGGTATCGGCAGCCTTGGGTTGTTGACTTTTTATCTTAGACATTTGATCTTGCTCCCAGATTGAATACTCGCTCTTGTAATCGACATCTGTGTCCTTGTGTCTGCGAGTAAGAGCTTCGTTTTTATTCGAGTACTCGGCGTCGGGAATTTGGAAGCCAGAACCGGAATCGTCGATGGCATTTCGCGCCTCGGCCAGTTCCAGGGTCTGACGATTCTTCTTAAACTCGGCTCTTTCTCTCTCGCTCAGCTTGTTGCCCAGCCTCTCCTCCTCTTCTGCTTCTTCGGCGACCTGGCGGCGGAGTAGGGCGAGTTGTTGCGCTTCGCGTTCGGCAAGGTATTTCTGGCGCGACGCCAACCTCAAGGCGCTGACATCCTGGTCGCCGGTCTTGCGGCGCTTGGAATCCATGATGTGTGGTAGTTCGAGTGTGTTAGCGGTCGCGCGATTCGGCGGGAGCGTGGTGTCGAGTCGAGGGTATGGTATGCGTGTGCGCGCGAGGTTTGTGGGCGTCGAGGGTTCACTCGGATGGTGGAGCTGGACTACGAAATGTTGGAGCTCGGACCAGGTGGCGCGAGCTAGCTAGCCGGATGGAAACTTCGGTTGCCGACTACAACGACGAGGCTTGTCCGCAACAAGATGAAGACAAAACTTGAGCCTGGAGGATACAACGTCGTACGTTTCGTTGGTTTGTCGGATGAAAAGTTCTTGTAGCCTCAGGGTAGGCGCTTTCCAGGTGCTGGTCTTCACAGAGTGGGCTGATGGAAGTTGAGAGGAAGAAGAGTGTAGAAGGAAGGACGATGGGAGACGAGCCTGATATATGCTCAGGTAGCGCGGACAGTAGCCTGGTAGGTAAGAGACGGTGGTACCGATGGAACCATGGATGAGAGGTGAGAGGTGAGTTGGCTGAAGCATGCCCGGGCGGGTGTAGAAGAGTCACAACAGTGGGGCTACGTCATAGGCAGCCGCCGCGAAGAGAAGGAACGGTACAGGTAAAAGTGGAGATGAGAGAAGAACACAGTGGTGGTGATAGGGGAGTTTGCGTATAAACGGTACTGGTGGCAGTCATGCACTGGAATTATTGCGCATGGTGAGAGTGTGGCACGTATCAGCATGAAAGTCATTGCATAGTTTGGTACTGTGCCTGGCATGAGTGGAGCGAACACCATGGTTCTACTACAGGCAGTTCATTCGACCTATGGGCCTCGGAGGAATGCGCCATACTGGCAAGTGATAGCATGGTCACAGTGCTGACCAGTACTCCGGCACAGAATGCCTTATGCTCTCGAGCTTACTACGTTCCCTTCGGCATCCTTTGTTGAAGCGCATGACCCTCTGCGACCCAAACAAAGCAAAAGTCGACATTTATGGCAGAACATGAACCACAATCACAACCACAAACCCTTCGTCGTTTTGCTCCGTACCCAATACCTGCCTTACAACCCCAACATCAAGTTGCGACTTCCCTCCCAACCAAGAAAAACACCACGCCAAGGACCGCGGATTGCAAATCAACATCCACGGTTGGCCGCACCAACCACATCGATCACTTCAGTTCATGTGACTCCGTCATTATTTCGAACCACATGACGTGACGCGTTCTCGCGAATGGAGCAGCAGCGATTGCACAGCATGTTCGCTTTAGGAATATGGGCACATTGAGATAGGCGAGTGTGCGTCGTGAACATAGCGCGACAGGTAGGTCTCGGCAATCGCGATGCTTACCTGCAAAGTCCGTATACTCGATATCAACATGCGCGACATGAGATAGTAAGGCGCAGCGACCAAATTCTGCCAACATAAAGATATCATATTCATTATCATAACCCACTACCCAGCGCCGCCCATCTTAACACCACGCTTCATGAACGCTAAAAACCTCGAAAGAACTATGCAAATGACACATGCTGACAACACCACCGTCCTGCTCACCAGCATCTCCATCCCACACCTACACCATACCACCCACTCAATGACTAATATACTGAAACACAGCACTAACATCCCTCAGCCCATCACCCGTCTCCTGCCTGAGCAACAAATCCTGAATCTTGCCCAACGGCCCCGTCTCGCCATCATTGACAAAGTGGTTCCACGTGCTCGTGTCACCGTAAAGCATCGCCGGCGCTTTCGCCACTTGTCTTCCATCTTCCTTCCTACAGCGCTTACACTTGAACGTGTCGTGCGTGTCACTCGTGGTATTGTCGCGGTACTGGAACAACTCGCGGAGAGAGTCAAGTGAGAAATGGCGTTCCACATCCTCCGCGCTGTCGACGACACAAGACGATAAAGACTGTTTGTGAGACTGGCGCTGGAAGACCTTCTCTTCGATAGTGCCTGTGGTGATGAAGCGGTACACGAAACAATCCTTCTTCTGTCCGTCACGCCACACACGCGCAAGGGCTTGCTGGTCGGCAGCGGGGTTCCAATCAGGGTCGAAGAGGACGAGGCGGTTCGCGCCGATGAGGTTGAGACCGCAGCCACCGGCTTTAGAGGAGAGGAGGAAGACGAATTCGGGGCTTTCGGGGTCGTTGAATTTGTCGACTAGCTTTTGGCGCTTGCTCACGTTCATGGTGCCGTCGAGACGGAAGCAGCCGTAGCCGCGTGAGCGGCATAGCATGGCGAAGATGTCGAGGGTTTGGGTGTAGTTGGAGATGAGGACGATCTTGTCGTTGGTTTCGGCGCGGATGCGAGCCAGCATACGATCCAAGACAGCCATCTTGCCGGAGTACCATGTCTTGACCTCGCGGTCCCTGCCTCGCGCATCCTTTTGTACAAAGTCGTCTGGAAGCTTGTCTTCGCAGCCCGGCAAGTCTTCTGGTAGGTTGAGAAGGTCGGGGTGGTTGCAGAGCTTCTTGAGCATGCCGATGACCTTGAGCGGCTGCGAACCCTTGCCGCGGAGTAGACTCTGAACATCGGGCGACTTGATGAAGTGGTTGTAAAGGTCCTTCTGGAATGGCGCAAGGTTGCAGAATACGACGTGCTCGTACTTGACTGGCAGGTACTTGGAGAGAATGTCGTTGGTTCGGCGAATGATGAACTTGTTGACCAAGCCGAGAAGCTCGGTGAGGCGCTCGGTACCCTTCTTGATGTCCGCATCCGTTCCGTTCGCGTCGCGACCCTTCAAAATAGGAATCTCGTAATGCTTGCGGAACTCCATGCGCGTGCCAAGGTAGTTGGGGTTGGCGAAGTTGAGTAACGCAAAGTACTCTGACAGATCGTTCTGGATGGGTGTACCCGAAAGGATGACTCTCCTCTGCACGTTCAGGTTGTTGAGCGCGGTAAAGGTCAAGCTGTCACCGTTCTTCAGTCGATGCCCTTCGTCGCAAAGCATTAACCCGATAGGTGTCTGTCCGAACTCGTCGGCGTAAAGGCGCAGGGTTTCGTATGACACAATGAGGACTGGCCTGACGACTGAACGCCCGGATGCGATCGACCACTGCCGTATTTGCTGGATGAGCTCCTCCTTCGATGCCTTGCCATCAATCGCGAAGGGTGTGACAGCATCCTTCCCAAGCCACTTGATGAGCTCGTTCGCCCAATTCCTCACTAAACTCGACGGACAGGCGATGACGCACTTTTGTATCGTCGACTTGCCGGCATCGGGCGACTGCTTGAGTAGTGTCCACATGAGCGCGATACACTGCAGCGTCTTTCCAAGACCCATCTCGTCTGCCATGATGCAACCGTTCGCCTTCGGGTCGATCATCCCCGTCGTCGCGCGATACAAGAACTTTACACCCTCGACCTGATGCGGTCGCAGAACCTTCGCAAGTCTCGGATCAATGACGACCGGCACGCGCGGCCGCTCGTTGTCCACCTTCTTCTTCAACCCCAGTATCTCCGCCAAACTCTTGTGTACCAGCGGCGCCTCCATCTCCTTCTTCTCCGTTTGACTCAACTTCGGTTCCGCCTCTTCCTTCGGTATCGGCTTGTCGTCAACTGTGGGATCGTAGAGTACTATCGCAAACTCTCCACTTGGGTCGTGCAGTGGTCGCGCAACAAAGACGGTTCCAGTCCGCATACCCAGCAGCGGTGCCGGTCGATTCGGATTGTAGGCTCCGACATCCTTGTTGACTAAAGGAACGATAAACTTGGTTCTGAATGCGGTGTCTTTGTCTTTGGGCTTGAAGACGGGAAATCGGTTTGCGTCTCGTGTGGCGAGGGCTAACCGGTCTTCATTCGAGTATGGCTTATCGCTCTCTCCATCTTCGCCTCCTGCACCAGAGTAATCGACCTTCCTCCTCTTCCTTGCAGGTTTGGTTGAGACACTGGATACTGTTGCTGAGCCAGGGCATCGGAAAGGCTTGATGAGGCGTTCGGTTGACTGTGGAGTGCCACCATAGAGACGCGCCGCGGGCTTCGCAGGCGTGGCCTCACCTGCTGCGAGAGTCTTCGGTCGATGCATGAGGAATTGACACGTCTGGTAGGCACTGTGAGGTTTGGCAGCCTATATCGGGTCGATGTGGTGGGAGATGGGAGGAAAGGGAGTGTCGTGCGGGAATGCTGATCAATGCACGCAGGTGGCGGAATCTCGACGCGTAGATTGTTAGCTCAATCACGTCGTCACGTGGCGCGGCAGGCAGCATCGTCATCCCACCAACATCCAAAATCTCCATCATACCTAGATCCCGTATCTAAATCGCTCCCTGATCACATTCCCATAATTTCCATACGTCCAACGCGTCAATCCCCCACCTCTCCATACCTCAGAAAACCCTGTGACCGACACCTCCGAGCCCATCTCCGCAAATTCCCCAGCAACCCACCCCAACACACTTCCACATCCCCACCCAACCATGGCGCGAAAAGCAATAGCAAAAGACCAAATCGTCAAATTGATCGTAGGCGCAGGGCAAGCGTCGCCCTCGCCGCCAGTCGGTCCCGCGCTGGGAAGTAAAGGTGTGAAGAGTATGGATTTCTGCAAAGTACGTTTATCTACATTCCGCAGCTGTCGCATATCTTCAAGCGCAATCGTCGCATACCCAATTCATGTATACTAACCCCCACCCAGGAGTTCAACGCCCGCACCGCCCACTACACCCCTGGCACCCCCATCCCCGCACGCATAACCGTCCGCCCCGACCGCTCCTTCCACTTCCAACTGCGCACGCCCCCAACCGCCACCCTCCTCCTCTCCGCCGCCGGCGTGCTCCCCACCAAGAACAAGATAAGAGGAGCTGGAAACGTGCCCGGGCCTATGAACAACCACGACGGGCAAAAAGGCAAGACGTCGACCAGTAGTCCGACGGTGGGGAATGCGGTGAAAGGGACGGTGGGGACGGTTAGTCTGAAGCATGTGTATGAGATTGCGAAGATTAAGCATGGCGAGACGAGGTTGAGTGGGTTGAGTTTGGAGGGCGTGGCGAGGAGTGTGGTGGGGCAGGCGGGGAGTATTGGGGTGGTGGTTG